CTTTTACCCTTGCTAAGTCAAGTCTACAAAATACCTCTAACTCCAATAAAGAGGCTTAGGAATGGTATTAAACAGTTCCCTCAGGAAAATGTCCTTCGTCACAATTTTAACACATTGCCACACTAGAAAAAAATTTTTTCCCTTGGGGCCACAGTGTTTTATTATGAAAATATAATTAAAACTTAGAAAACAAAATGATCCTTTCTAATTTAATAAAAATGTGTTATTTTTTATTGTTTTCTATGTGTGAATTAAACAATTAAATTGTTAATATTAACTGTAACAATAAGAACATCAACAAATAAGATTTTCACCAATCAACTACAGGGTTTTGTCCAGGTTTTGCTTCACGAGGCCCCAGGCAATTAACACATTAACTGCCATGTGAGTTGTATTTAACTCATGCTAATTTTGAGCCCGGGACCTCTTAATTCTAAAAACATGGATTAAATGAACACAAGTCAACGAATTTTGTTTTTTGTTAAATTTTTCATTAAATTAGGAAGGATCATTTTGTTTTTGAAGTTTTTATTCTATTTTCATAATAAAACACCATGGCCTCAAGGAAAAAATTTTTTCCTAGAGTGGCAGTCAATGTGTTAATGTGTTAAACATCATTATTTATAATAATGCCTCCTTGAGTGCACAGTCCTTGTCTGGCAATATATACCATTCAGACATTTACATGAGAAACATACACTGTGCTATGTCTATAGCACAATACTCAGATGATAAAAAATGAAACGTATATAAAATTTATGAAGCAGAAATGGAAGCATGAGTCCTCTGCACTTTTCCTATCCAAATGACAGTTATAAACTAAACAGAAATTGCTGGTTGCTTTTGATGAGAATAAAGAAAATGGGGGAAAAAAGATTTTCTAAACTACAGATATAGTGGGTATATGAGTGGGAAGTAATTACATGACTCAATACTATTAGTACTTCTGTCATTTCAAAAGGGAATGCTTGAAACTTTCCTATATCAGAGAATAGAAAAAGCTCAACAACAACATAATAATAATAATAAAATACATCCGTGGCTAGAGTAACTGAACAAAGTTTTTTAAAATTACTAGGATGAAAAAAAAATCAGAACTAAATGACTTTTAAATTATATGAATTTAAACAAGTCTTTGAACCAAGAAGTTGAAATCAGTCTACCTTAAAATTTAGTCTGGAGAGCAATAAAAAGCATTCTTTCTTCCCAATTTACTTTTTATAATGAAAAGCTCTAAATATGTAGAAAAGTACAGAGAACAGTATAATGACCAACTATACCCATCACTAGATTTGACAAATGTCAAATGTGCTACTTGCAGGTAGTCCTAGGGTAGGCCATAGGTATATGTGTATTTCATATTCGCATCTTCAACTCTTGTGAGTAACCCCAAATGCTTGCACCCTGTAATGATTTTAATTCTCCTTGGATGTAAGTTTTAATTGCTCATGTTGTAAAGTTGGGAAATCAAGTCATCGAGCTACTGAGTGAGCCAAACAATGGCCCTATGTCTTCAACACTATACAATTTAATTTTCTTTACTCATGGTCATGTACACAGAAACACCTAAAAAGTGATATGAGTGTTCTCACTTGAAACAAATTTTACAAAGGTTCCCAACAGAAGCCCAGTTGCCGGCACAAGGGATAAAAGTGAGTAGAGAGTGAAATTTAAGAAAGTTATAATTCTTTGTGAGTAACAACACTAACAAGTTTTAAATAAAATCTACCATTTCTTATGGAATCAATTAAAAGACTTTGCTTCTGAAACGTCTTCCTGTCCTCTCTCATGGTGCTCCCTGGTGGATGATGGACCTACACGGTGCAGTGAGAACCACGTCTGCCCAAGACTCTCAACCCACATTTTCCCCTCTTCTCCCATACTAAGCTTCTTGACTACTGATGCCCGCTTAGGATGGGTATGAACTGCCCCTACCCCTCCCTCTTCTCCAAATCTAAGTGATATAGGTCATAAACTCTTTCCCCTTCCACACCTCTAGGATAAAACCAAAGTTTACTTCAGAAGGTTGGACAACCAAACCATATGGCTAGCAATGTCACCTCTGTGGAAGTTCTGACTACTTCTTCAAAAATTAGAATGGAAAATACTGAACACAGATATCAGACACTAACATAAATTATTTTGAAAGCATTTTAACTTAAGAGAATACTTTGAAGAAGCAACGTAGTGAAGTGGAAAATACAACCCATAATGCTAGAAAGAGTGAGATTCAAATTTGGTCCTCTCATTGATAATTGCAGAAATGCTCAAACTCAGTTTCCTAACCTTTAAAATTAGGGTTGTTGTACATATAGAATGAAAACGTATATTTAAAGAATGTAGCACAATG